ATTTTTAATCAATCTTCATTACTTGTTGCTATCACTGCTGCATTGCTGGGCAAAGCCCTGAGCTTTTATTAGAAGTTAAAATATTTTTACACTTGTTACTTGCACCGCTGCGAAGAAAAGTTAACTCAGCCAGAACTCCCAGAAGCTACCAAAGCCCAAGACAAATAAAACCAGAAAGGATTAAGTCTTGTGAATTACACCAACCATATCACTTTGCCTCAGGATTTGATGACGCCTGGAGCAGACTATGCCGAGCTTGCAATTTTGTCAATTATGTTTCATTTCATACATTGGGGCTGTCATAGAATGAATTGTTATCGTAGATGTCCCTGGGGACATAGAGCTCAGGCAGCCTCACACTACATGTTAAAAAGCTTTCTCAGACAGGGCTTGTCAGAAAACACATCTTCCACACAGAGCTCTGCACTACCTGCAACTGAGCCAGAACGAGGGAAGCAGAGCCCCCAGACGCATTCACATTCTGCTCAGGGGATGCTGCACAAGAACAGCCCGGGGCCCCCCTTGCAAGGGATGCTGCCCCTAATGCAAGCCAGCTGAAAACAGCAGTACATTAAAAACAACCTACATGTGAAATAGTAGAACTGAGTCAAGGACAGAAACATGCAGTAAAAAATGAGAAGAAAGATGTAATTGCCCAACTCCTTGTCACTTTTTTACCTTATAAAAAAATCACTCTGGCAGAAGCAAGACACCCTTCTGTACCAGTCTCTTATTCTTAGATGGTGCCTAGAAAGGAGAGCTAAGCACAAAGACAGAATTTTTTAAGTCCCCAAACCTTTCCTAGGCTTTTGCATGGCTTTGAATCTGTTCTTATCATCTGATCCTAACTGCTGTCACCTGCCAGTAATTTCCTGCCTTGCTCTCGCTTGTTTTGCCATCACTGGATGCTGCCATGGCAGAGAGGAAGCCTTGCTAGTGCAAAAATATTGAACGAGATTTGAAAAGCACCTATCTGGTCTCTAAACGAAATGTCAGAAGTGAGGAAGCAAGAATATTTTTTTCTATCAGCTGCTTCATTAATGCAGGCTGAGGTGGTAATTAGACACTATTGTGATAATGATGGACTTAACTGGGGGCTGCTTGATGGCCTGGAAATACCATGCCCATCAGTGAAGACACACAATTATCTAAGATATTGCCACTGCACACTCTTTGCTGTCACTTCTGTACCTGAGCCATACTAATAACATGAGTGAGTCAAACCCATTGCGGTGCAGCCAAGCAAGCTGGCCTAAGTCACTCTCATGGAATTGGGAATGTGCAGAGGACATTTTATGGACACAAGGTGATTTATGGCTCCAGTTACTTGTTCTATCCTTCAGCTGAACCATATTAATGAAGTAACTGTGAGCTCCAGTTTGCTTCAGCACAAAGTCAGCTATTGCTGCACAAATCAGATGAGCCCCTGAAGTGGATTGGGAGCATTGTCAGTGTGTGAATGTGGCTCAGCTCCAGGGGAGAAGCAGATGCAAGCTGGGGTGTGGTACGAAGCAGATGGAAAATGGTGTTTCCCTAAACAGTCCCACTAGATCTGCAGCAGCACATCTGCTGCACCCCAGTGTGCGCCTTCTTCCTTTTTCCACTCACTGCAAAAAGATTTGGGCCGAATCCCCTCTTCCACTGACCCTTCAGTTGATGTTCCCATGGAGAGATGACATAAGATATGACCTTTCCTGTGTATTTTCTTCCTACATCACACTGGCTGTGAAATGAGAAAGACTCCATGAATTGCGGAGTGTTGGATTTCAGATCCTGTTTGGTGCTCATGCTTTCTTTGCAATGTTTCTGCATCCAAATTGCATCCTTTAACTAGGCTGAAGGGAATGTATCTTCTTCTTGTATATGGGAAAACAAAGCAGATGGTCTCAGTCTGAGGGACAGATGTCCACATCAGAAAGCTGTCACCGCACTTGACACCTTCCCAGCCATACTGGCCAAAATCCTCCAGAAAAGAAAAAACACACCTTGCCATTTTGCATACATTTGCATTCATTTGCATGCATTCAGGCACCTACTGAGCAGAATGCTCAGCCTTCCCATTTCTTAAGTTGCACTCTACCTCAGAAAGACTGGTGTGAAGATTACTTGTTAAAAGAGCTGACTGCCTGGTGACTTTGGTATGCAAGCTATTAATAAAAAGGACCCTTCCGTGCCAGTGTCCTATTGTCTTCCTGCCTTTTGTCACAGGGATGAGTCTAGACATTGAAAAGCAGCTCATAACGGCACTGCCCCTACCCAGAAATTCTGTAAAGGCAAATGAAAACCCTTTTCTGCTAGATTTTCTAGGACATGAGCAAAGCATTTGACACTGTCCCACATGACATGATCCTTGTTGCTAAACTGGAGAGATACAAATTTGAGAGAGGCACCACTCAGTGGATAAGGAATTGACTGAATAGTTGCACTGAAAGAGCTGTGGTCAACAGCTCAATGTTCAAGTGGAAAGCAGTGGAAATGGCATTCCTAAAGGGATGATATTAAGACCAGTGCTACTTAACATCTCTGTGAGTGACATGGACAGTGGGATTGAGTCTGCAAATCTGCTGGTGACACCGAGCTGTGTGGCACAGTCAGCACACTGGAGGGAAGGGATGCATCCAGGGGGACCTGCACAGGCTGGAGAGGGGGCCTGTGTGAAACACATGAAATTCAACAAGGCCAAGTTCAAGGTCCTACATCTGGGTCAGGGCAATCCCAAGCACAAATACAGGCTGGGGGAGAATGGATTGTGAGCAGCCTCGAAAGAAGGTCTGGGGGTTCTTAACAAGAAGCTCAGCATGGCCTGGAAATGTTCATTTACAGCCCAGAAAGCCAAATGTATCCCGGGCTGCATAAAAAGTAGTGTGGCCATCAGGTCAAAGGAAGTGATTCTGCCCCCTATGACACCCTCATGAGACCCCACCTGCATCAGTCCCATTCAGCTCTGTTTGTAAGAAGGACCTGGACCTGTTGTAGCAAGTCCAGAGAAAGCCACAAAGATGCTCAGAGGGCTGGAGCACCTCTTCTGTGAAGACAGGCTGAGAGAGCTGGAGTTGTTCAGCCTGGAGAAGAGAAGGCTCCAAGGAGACCTTAGAGCAGCCTTCCAGTGCCTAAAGGGGGTTCAGCAAGAGGGCTGGAGAGGGTCTTCTTAAAAGGGCATTTGGTGGCAGGACAAGGGGGAATGGCTTTAAACTGACAGAGGATGGGTTTAACTTAGATATTAGGAAGAAATTCTTCACTGGTGGTGAAGTACTGGAACAGGCTGCCCAGAGAAGTGGATGCCCCATCTCATCAAGTGTTCAAGGCCAGGTTGGATGGGGCTTTGAGCAACCTGCTCTGGTGGAAGATGTCCCTTCCTATGATAGGGGAGCTGGAACTAGATGATCTTGAAGGTCCCTTCCTACCCAAATAATTCTTCTATGATTCTGTGAAAAGACTGGTGACATTGTCAGAGTGCAAAAAACATAATCCCATCTTGTTTTCCTTTTTTTTTTTTTTTTTTTTTCCTGGCAGGGAGTTTTCTCTTCCAACTTCAAACAACCACAGAAGGCTCTATGTCTTTATTTTTCATAAGTGAGGCAGCAATAATTCACTGGGATTGTGGTGGCTGGAATGCCTGGGGGATCTGGATGCGGGCAATCTGAATTAGGGGAGAAGTCAATGAAACACAGGAGAATACTGAAGCGCCTTAGCACGAGGCCTGTTTCTCAACATGCAGGCACATTGCTGCCTGAGTTCATAGGAAATTATCCCGCATGGAGCCTTGCATCCAGTAGGAGGGGAAAAAAAAAAGCCAGATAAAAACAAACCAAACCAAAACACATCAGATTGCTCAATGCCGTCTATAAGCCAGTTAAAAGGGGAGGAAAAAGAGATCTCTTAATGCAGTCTGCCCGGCCAAAGCTGAGCCCTGCTCATGGGGCAATGTCTGCAGGGGCAGGAGGAGCATCCTGCATCCCCATCTTGCATGAGGAAGGTCCAGCTGTGGGCTGGGACATGATACCTGCTCCCCATTAAGGCCCCTGTGAAACCCTCAGGTGGCAATTACTGCTGAGAGCACAGCAGTTATGAAGACTAGGAAATGCAGTGTGTGTTTTCCACTGCTAGTTATGACTGCACGGTGAGGCAGGAGAAGGGAAAGCAACCATTCTCATTTTAGGGTCATTTTATACTGGTTCTTCTCTTCTTCTCAGCCCTGATGATGCGATGATGTTGTGCCAGGGAGGAGGGGCTGTCTGAAGGTGAGTAGTAGCAAATAAAAAAGCAGAGAGGCAAGACATGCTGCTCAGCACTTCTTGTTTGTCACCCAATGCCTTTGTCCTGTGTCTCCATCCCTGCCAGCGCTTCAGAGTGACTCAGGGTTTGTCCAACCTGCCATGCATGGCTGTGATGAATTCCAGCTGCTGGGAGCAGCATAAAGGTGGCAGAGCCTTTTCCCACAAAAAGAAATGTTAACAGACAGAGAGATTTTCAGCCCCAAGGACCTTTGCTTATGAATCCTGTCAGCTTCCTTGTCACCTCCATAGCCCATCAACAAATCAACTAGGTTTTTCTTTCACAGGCCATTACATTTCCCACTTCTTTCTTTGGCACAATGCAAAAACAGTCACAGAGGCTTCCCATGCTGAGCTGGAGACATGGCTGCACACACAGCTACAAGTGAGGAAAATGCCACTTGTTTTCACTCTCTACCCGACACATGACAGCCTGTTACACAAAATCAGCAGCAAAACTCCCCCCCACTTTTGCAAAAGAATAACACAACCCAAAATTTATGTAACTCTGCAACTAATCTTTGGTAATCTTGAGCAAGGCATTTAAATCCATGGAATAAGCCTATTCTTCTCATCCCCCCCACCCCCCAGCCTATCTGTAAAGTAAAAAGGGAGACAAATAGAAGCAAAGTTCACAGCCTTGTGATTTTTCCTTTTGACTAGAGCAAAGTGGCATCGTGTCCCGAGACTGCTCTGAAGTAAACCCTCCTGCCTTGCCTTATCCCATGCACTGAGCACCTTAAGAGAAAAGCTGCTTTCAGAGCAGCTGTCAGTTGCTCCTGGCTGAAGCATGGAAGTCTCTACCCTCGCCACGTACCACTGCCTTGCTTTTGTCTGGTACCTTTTCGTTGCCTATTCCATCGCACACGTAAAAACAGAGGAGCAGCCATCTGAAGTGTTCCTTTACGGGGCGCAGTGGAAATATTTGACAGTCCTCAATCTGGTAAGCAAATTGTGTTATACAGTGATACCAATATGTCTGTTTGTTTGTCTGCCATCTGCGCCTCAAGACATATGCAGCTGGTGTATTTGCTGCTGTTAAACTGCTTCCTTTGGTGGTTTTTACCCCAGAGGAAACTAAGGAGGGTTCTGTGCTTGTGCTGTGAAATGTATTCACAGGTTTCATGCAGAAAGAATATTGGCTGGTGATGTGCTTGATTTTCAGAAAGTACTTCAAAGCTAGCTGCCTCCTTGTAAAAGAGATATTGTCAGTGAGGGGAAGGACAGAAAAGTGGGGGTATGTCCTGCCAGGACACACACAAGTTTGGTGCCTGTTTTCTAACCTTTGATTCAAAACATTTCAACACTGCTTGGAGTTTTACTTCAATTTTTAAATAGGCTTTTATGTCCTCTAAATTACAGGAAAAGTGAAACAAAGCAGAGCACCATGCTAATTTAGCCATTCAGAGTACCTGCTTCTTTTGACAATCAGTTGAGAACACAAGGGAAAGAAATTCCAGCCTGTGGAGAGAAGTGCTTGTGATATTATTACATGAGTTTCAGCAGTGCTTTCAACTGGTTGCACATTTCCTAAAAGCACACAGAAAAAGAGAGATTGTAATGTGTTCTGGTTCTTCTAATGTGCTATCATTTCACAGGATAGAAATCAAAGTGAAAGTACATGAGATACCCAGGGGAGAAGGCTTGTTCAGAGTCCAAGGCGTTCATCAGCAGCTCGGGAAAGTAGTACTGGTGGGGTGGAAAGACCAGGCTTGTGGAGAGGTTTCCTACAAGGGAAAAATTTCAGGCACGCTTGCTAATTTGAAGGATGACTGCAGGGACCTGGCCTTTCATCTATTCTGTGTGACCATCAGAGTTAAATATCAGTGAGAAGTCTGGTCTGGGGCATGTTTGTCTCTACTTTTACCCTTCAGAAGGAGACATCCTATGCTGGAGCTCAGCTCACTTGGCTCCCCAGCTCCAAGTGGGGCTTTTGGAGACCTTCAGGGAAGCGGGGAATTTGGTTCTCTTCCATCCTCAACCATTCTGTGACACATTTGCAAGAAAGAGGCGGTGAGTGGCAAGTGAAGTGACCACAACAACCCAGGGATTCTGGGAGCCCCAGCCCTCTCCTCAGTGGCCAAGTGAGCTGTGGAAGGATGAGGACACATATATATCACTGCAGTCAGGTGGCATTTGTACTGCTAATTGCAATGGTGCCTGTTTATCAGTATTGCCAATTTGGGGAAGTAGCTGACTCCACTAAAACACCACCCATACTTTCAGGCAAAACAGCATCTCCACCCCCATCCCCTAGCACCATTATAATGAGATTTACCACCGAGCTCTAAAGCTTGAGATCAAAAGGTCAAAGCAAGTAACCAATCTCCCAGTATTTTGGGATGAAGAAATACTCACTGAAATTGTCATCCAGTTTCCCTTAGTGACCAGCAGTCAGGGATGGTCAGGGAAAGGCTGCACAAGGCAAGAGCATGTACAAGCATGAACTGAAGTTTCCATAGCTTTACTGTCCCACTAGCATACCCAGCCAAAAAAATAAATCCAGACTAAGGTAGCTAATACCCAATCAAAGCCTTGCTTTCATCTATGTAAAGGAAAAACATGCCTGTTCATACTTCTGGTACTTTCCCTGTGCCATAAGGCAAGTGTGTCTTGTGTGAAAGACATGTTCATTCTGTCAGTGTAAACCTGCTTCCTTGACAGCTGAGCTGGATGCCTCATTGTTTCTGTGTGGTAATTTAATCATCCATCCCTGTTCACATTTTCTTTGCCACTCATTAGAATGGCATTAGATTATCCTCTCAGTTACTGTTTTCTGCAGGCTGGAAGTCCAAACCTTTTTCATTTCTCTTCACAAAGGGTTGCTTCTCATTAAATTGTCCACGTCACCTTTGCAGCAGTTTTTCTAGTTTCAGGAGGGAGCAGGCGGGGCAGGCTGCAGTGGTCAAGTTATGAGCATATATGGGTTTATATAGTGGCCTAAAGGTGTTTCCTTGTTTGTAGTTTAATTCTTCTTGACTGCTCTTAACTCTCTATTTGTCTTTTTTGATCACTGGTAGGCAAGGAGAGAGCAAGTTGAGAAAGCAATCCACACTGAGACTAATATTTCTTTACTGGATGGTGACAGCTAATATAGAACCCACTGTTGAAAAATATATAATTGAAGGTGCTTTTTAATTTTTTCTGAAATGCTTTACATTGCACTTATCAACACAGATTTTTGCCTACTATTTGATTGCTCAGGCACTCAGTATCCTGATGTTATTTGGCAATTTTTCACTCAGGTCGCTTTGCAAGGGAAAAAAACCCCATCAGGTTCACGAAAGTGTACCACCTCAGTGTTTGCTCCCTTTGCCAGCTCATTTACAGATCTGCTGAACAGCTCAGGTTTTCTTAAATCTCCATGAGTGAGGGCTCTTTCTCCACTTCCCCAGTCCTTTGAGTACCAAATTTTAACCACTCATTGATCAGATTCCAATGCCAAAATGCAGCTGCCGGCCAAAGGAAAATGGTTTGGGCTGAGCATATTGCCTATCTTATGCACAAAATGTGGCAGTGGGAAAGGATGTGCAAAATTACTCCTTCATGGATGGTAGTCCTTCTTCTTCAGAGATTTATTTATTTAAAGAAAGGATTGCCAAAAAATGAAGAGGCATTAGGGAAAGAAATGCTGACATCCCCCTTCTCCTGCTGAACTGGGTAGCATTTTTTAGTAAAGCAGCAGCAAAAAGGTGGCAAAAGTTTCTTGAGCCACTGCATAAGAGAGGAAGAGTGTGAGAAGACATGTCCCACATGCTGTGGTGCTCTCTGTGGGGCTCCACTGGACTTAAAGGACTCATCCCACGGTCTGGCATTAAACCATTCCCTGTTGTTGCTGAGGAACATCGAGGAACAAGAGGTGCCTGTCAACCACCCTTGTCCATTGGGTGCACATCCAAGGCACTGAATTTCTGTTGGTCTGGACACAGCCCTAGAAAGCACCTAGGGTTGTCGGGAGTTACGGTTGTGGGGAAGAAGAGTGGGCAAGACCTTCACACTGGGCTGCTCTGGTTCAGTGGATCTGCTGTGCAGGGCAGGCCTGGGCAGTGCCTTGGAGGCTTCCCCAGAGCCAGGAACACAGAGACAGCCTTTGTCCAGCTCTTCTGCCTGTGTCCTGCCAGACTGGGATTGCCTGCCTTCTGGCACTGGCTGTCTGAATCCCTTGGAAATTTTCCCTCCAAAAATTTCATTTATTTCTTTGGAATAGCATTTAAAAATTTCTTTCTGTGGAAAGCTGCTCTGGCTGCCTCACTGTGATCTGAAATAGAAATACTGGGAAAACTAACATTTTCTGGGGATGGAAATGCTCCTTGTCTCCCATTTTGCTGGAGAGATGCTGGAAGAATTCCTTCTAGATATGACCCTCTTTTAGCACCTCATTCAATTCCTTGCCAGTCATGTGGCTCTCCCAAGGGAGCTACATCTCTGACATTGCTTCAGATTCATCTTCTTAATGATCATAGCAATCAAGATTCAGTAAGGAAATATTTTTGTAGGGGGAAAAAAAGAATAAGTGGGCTTTGTATCAAAGAGGTTCTTTGACCCATCATTGAAGAAGCAGAAATGACAGATAAAACCAGTTTTGTATTTATTTCATTCATCTGTGACACAAAACAGTGCAAGCGGAATCATTCATTGCCTGAAATATCTGAGCTCATAAAAATCTGCTCACTGCTGTAAATCCATTAGTAAATCACTGCATAATGAGCACACTGCACCTTTAGAAACTATTGACTGCGTTCCTTCCCCATTTTATTCCATATACTTTTGTCTTTCATAATGGAAATACTTTTCAATTGTCCTGAAAGCTGCTTTGTATTTATTTCAGAATAGGCCCAGTATTTAGTAAAGATATTTTCCAAGACACTATCAAGTGAATGGATGTGTGTCTACACTAAATGTTGATTTTTATGTCTAATAACTTGCTCAGAATATTGGATTTATCCCTCCCTAAAGGGCAGAGCTTGGAGCCCGATTTATTTGTACTAGCTGGAGATTTCAATATACACATATGGCAAGATCTTATACACAAAAGTAAATCATGTCAGGTTAGTTAAACAGAAACACCCTTTTGATCACTGCACCAGATAAAAATTGAGCTTTGTCTTTGTCACTGTGAGTCTCAGTTTGGAAAATTGATCTGGCCAAATTAAATGTTTCTACAGCACCCAGCACCATGGAACTCTGCAGGGTCTAGAGGGGAAAGCAGCCTCTCTCCAGCAGGGATAATCATATCCATATTCTCCTCTTTGGGTTAATCATTAGCTTTCTGAATGCTTCCAGTCTTCCTTCTGTTCGTGTGGGAACACTTTAGGGAATCCTTTCTATTTACAGCCAGTGGATTTATATTCCATGAGTGCCTGCAATGGATTTGTGAGTGCCAGCACTGTTGCTTGGGAAATTCACAGGACATCTGGAATAATTTGATGTTTTCACTTTTTTTTTTTTTTTTTTTTTTTTTTTTTTTTTTTTAATGTCAGCATTTTCCTTTTAATGGGGGGCTACAATATTTGGATGCACCTTTCTTACAAGAATAACCCCAGTAGGTTTGGAGCTTGGATTAGCTTGGATTTTAATCTACTGGGGGTGTACCATGCCAGACTGCGCAGTACTAGGGATGTTCCTAGCTAAGTTCAGTTTTCTGGTTTGAAACTTACTTGTAAAACCTTCCATTGCTCTTGGAAATACAGGGTGATCACTAAAGATCACTAAATTGTCTGAAACACCTTTGAAACTATGGTGATGAATGACAGTAGAGTTACAGCAGAACAAATCCAAGCTCCTGAGGCTGAGTTCAAACTTCTTCAAGAGCTGTTCTTCTCCATGTTTAGCTGGAGAAATGGGTCAGGTTACACATTCAGATAAGAATTTTCCATACAGAAGATAACATTGTCCTCCCCTGTGTATAACAGAATATTTACCAGGCTGACAATGTGGCTGTTTTGGGACTGTTTCTTTTCAGTAATGTTTATTTTAGTTAATTTTGAAGCAGGGAAAGAAGCAGCCTATCCCTGTTCCATGATTAATGTAAGGCTGACCATGAACAAGATAATAATAGCCCCATCCTCTGGGAACCAGGCTTCTCCCTAATTGCTTTATTGGCAATTAGTCACCATGTGTCACTGGACTGTCACCACCCTCACGTTCATTTTTCATGCCTTTTACAGAAAGTTGCTGCTGACTCTACAGGGTGTAACAAGAGCTTCTGTTTATTACCAGGCTTTTCTTAGCTCTTTGAGGACTCAGTATTGGTGTCCTGGTGAGACCAAGGATTGGGACAGACATTTGGGCTGAACATGTGTTTGTGTCTAAGTACACTGCACTCCAGCATGGACTTTACTGAACCAGACCCGTGACTTGGAGAGCTGAATCCCTACTGACTGAAAAAATGCCTGCTAATTGTGATAATGGGGAGGAAAAAATCACACTCAAAAGAGCTGTTTTGGGCACCTCAAAATTGAACAAAAACCTGTGTGGGTTCTGATGAAGCTGTTTGGGTTTTTTTTTTTTTTTTTAATGTAAAGATGTGTAGGTTCTCTCTAGACCTTGATAGGAAATGTCTTTGCAGACATCTATCTGTCTATCTTGATAGGATAGGCTTTGCAGCAGAACTGGATGATGCACAGCCTGTGATACCTGGTCCTGGATGACCCTGGGCCAGTTACCCAGCCTGTGTCAGCACCTCCCTTCTTCCACTGCTGTGGGTGGGGGACAATCCAACAGTGGTACTTACTGTCGTGGCTCTCTGGGCTGTGGAAAGCATAGGGAAGGAAGACTGTATCTTTTCCTGTGCTGGGAAGAAACAAAATGTTTGGGGATGGTTGCAGATAACTGCAAGCTATGGTAATTTTGTTGCCCAGGAAGACTCCGTCTCTGGAAACCAAAGATTGCAGAAGCCCTTGTTCGACAACAAGCATGGTGAAATCATAGTCTCCTCCTCCCCTCATATATTTTGATAATAAAGGAATTTCTGAAGGAAAAACATTGCACTAATCCTGTCCCCTCCCAAGCACCACCCTTTTCAGCTTCTTCAGAAACTGATGAAATAACCAGCCACAACTTCAGAGACTTTGCTCTAAATAAATATCTGAGTCAGAGTAAGATCATGGCAAAAGAGATCTCATCCTGAAAGCTGTAGCCCTCTTTCCATTTAAGCATCACTAGCTGATCCAGTGTTTGCAGCAGGCTGCATTTCCCATATTGCATGTGACAACATAGCCTTAAAAAGAAGAGGTCACCCCATGAGTTAAGTGAACTGAACTGACTTGGTGTTAAATGTAAGACAGTGGGAGAAGTATTTTTCTGCAAGGTTCTATTCTGCCTTTGTGTGTCTGACAAATCTAGTTCATCTTGATCTGCTGTGTAGTATTAGGAGAGAAAATGAAGCAATTAGAAAAGCAATATTGGTTTAAACCACAGTAATATGACAATTTTACACGTAATTTGGAGAACTCTGTTTTGTCGCTGTGCATGTATCTAATTCTTTACCAAATCCTCCTAGTGTCCTTCCCCAAAAAATCCCACCCTCACTACCTATAAATGATTTAAAGAAAGAAGGAAAAAAACTTCAAAACACAACCTTCCAATCCTAAAATTCATTAGTTATACATCATTTCATTTAAACTTAAGTAAAACTTCATTTTTATTTGGTGATGTCTGGATCTTTGCTTGTAGGCATTTGAAATCCTTTCTTGAATCCCTTTGAGTTCAGCAAAAGAGGTTCTGTTTTTGTAACTTCTGCGCCTAATTCTCACCTTAGATCATTCTGAGCTACTTGGCACTGAGATCAGTTGCACTGTGAGTCCCTAGAAAGAAGAACCTGTGTTGGCTAAACAGTGGAAAAGCTACCTAGCAATTGCTTTACAGGAAAAATGTCCTGGCATAATTTGTTCTCTCCTGCTCAGATATATCCAGTGGTCAACCATTAACATAGGAAGTGTGATGGAGCTGGCTTTCAACATGTCCCTTCACTTCACCCATCTGAATCACATCACACATCTCTGTTTAATCTATTAACTGGGATACTGTTAAAGTTATCTCCTGACCAACTTTATTTAATCAGTTTGGGTTAGTAAAAGAGATTTAGCCAACAGCTATTTCCCTCACGCAGGCTTGCAGCTCATGAACAAAACAGCTCCCTGAAGAGCAAGAACAGATTTCGTTGAGGAACATGCTAATGAAAGCTGGATGAGTTTCCCTCATTAGGTGTAATTACTTTAGGTTTTGCAGGCTGTCTTCTATGGGGTGTCCTTCCTGGCTGATGTGTTGAGACTAATTAAGAATCTGCGATGTGCTAAGTGCATAATTTCCAGCAGAGACCTTCTTTTCAGTGTCCTGGCTTTCCCAGTGTCCACAGTAAGTACCCTTTGTCTTTGTATTTGAAAATAATGTTTGCATAAAAAATTAGGGGTGTATAGCACCAAAAGTATGTGTATGAAACAGATAAGAACTAAGGGTTTTCTTTTACCGTTGAATTTGGAATGGATTTAGAAGAAGAAACAATGCTGAGCCTGTCATGGTTGAGAGCAAAGCCTCTTGCACAAACATTAGGGTTGCTGTCCTCAAGTGGACACAGATTGACCCCAAAGGCTGAATGAGGTGTAACCTCTCTGTTAATCTCATGGTCCAAATAGCTGTGGATTTATCAATTTAGGGCTTTTCTCTAAAGGGCAGCACAGGTCAGGAGGACACAAGAGGGTACCTAAGAGGCAGCAGAACCTCACATCTCCTTCTTTGACGCCAGAGTAACTTTAAATAAGCACTGGAGAGAAACAGATTCACGGAAAAAAATAATTATAGTCACAGCCTACGTCAGATTCATCATGGATCACCTACGCCTTCACAGACAATGCTGTTTATCAAAATGCCGTGGGTTGGAGAGGAACTGATGGGTTATTTATACATGTAGGTACGCTCTGTGAGAGTGATGCCTGCAGCCACCACTGAATCTCAGAGGGTTGAAAAACACTGCTTAAACATGGTCCACAAGCAGCTCAGCTAGCTGGCTCTCTAAAAAAGCCCTGCCTGGGATGGAGTCAGAGTGTTAACTATGCTGCTCTCATATCCCACCAGGCATCCTCACCATGCCTGCAGGACTGTGGCACAGTCTCACTCTTCCAGCATCTCACACCCCTGGTTTCTAACCCCAAGCACAAAGTGTGCTCAAAAGCCGGGCCAAAAATTGCAAATCAGCTCCCAGGTATCAGTAACTGATGCCAGGGACCATTTCTCCAGTTAAGTTGTCCCACTGTAATTCCTGATTTATTGGGGAAAAAATGGGTGCCCACAGTGCGCAGCTTTCACCTGCAATTTAGGAATTAGGCTTATGAGTTGTGAAGGTCAAGGGTAAGTTTATGTGAACTGCCTTATCAAGATCTGTTTTTACTTTGTTACTGAGAAAAACAAAAGTTTGACAGACAGTCCCTTGAGGAGAACTACTTGACCATCAAAAGATCCCATCTGCAAAGGGAAAGGGAAAGAGGGAGAAAAAAAAAAAAGCAGCAGCTAATCTCAGATTCCACAGAAAATGTCAGTGTTAGCAGTTTATAAAGCAGGAGTTTTTTTCTCTCAGTATCAACACAGAACACTGCATCTCTGAGTTAATGTGAGATAGCATGAGTTTATCTGGCAGTGTCATCATTTTTCATGTAAAAAAGCATGGAGACATTTTGCCTTCTCAGAAATGAAAGCACTAACCAAATCCTATCAGTTATGTTTGTCTTCCATTTTTAAATTTCTTTCATTTTGCATTTTGGTTCCAGTTTGTGTGTATATCCTTTTGGACACTGTATACCTACAACCGAGAGCTGGTTTACCCCAAAAGCCTTGATGGAGTCATCCCGCTCTGGTTAAATCATGCTATGGTGAGTAAGAAACACCTCAGCCTCTTGCAGAGAAAAGGGAGACTTTGCAACGTGTGCCCCACCACTGCATTGTGCCGTTTTCCAGAAGAGCTTCACAGCTTTTCCGTTCTCACCTCCTCCTTCCTGCTTATCTGAGTCTGATGTTGAGCTGTACGCAGCAATCAGATGCATGTGCTTGAAGCTGCCTCAAGAAGCCTTTTAGCACATAAGGAACGTCAGTTAATCGGTGCTTGTCAAACCTCTGAAGTCAATGAAATGATGTGTAGTCATAAGGAAAGAAAATCTCACTTATTGTAGCTCAAAAAAGAAATTGTGTCTGCTAACAGAAGTCTCTGAAATACAAAATGGCTGTGAATGAAACAAAGCAGACCTTAATTTTTAAAAAAGGTGAAATAACAAAAGAGAATCTGACAGCTCTACAGCTAATAAGCTAATGTGTGCGTAGCTTTGAATAGCTGGATTGCAATGATTGTTTACAGATTTTCTATAAATACTTTCCAGATTTCTCCTTCATTTGCTCTGGCCGTTTTTATGATGTGTTGAATAATCACATATTTCTCATCAGTCAAGTGAAAGGAGGGCTGACAGTAACATGGAAACTGTGGGTGGATTGCAAGGTCAGGGAGGCCTCGTGGGACGAATGGGAAGTGGGAGAGAAGGGAGAGGTTCAGCTCTAGGCTGAATCAGAGAAGCCGAAAAGTATGAAATAATCACACAGAAGACTCATTTCTCTCCAGACTTCATTTCTTAAGAACTTGCCATCCACTGCAGTGGATGTAGCCAGTGAGTGTTGAAGGTAAATCTGGGAGGCTTTGGGGTGTCTGGCTGAGGACAGCTCGAGGTTTGAGCAGCTCTTGATTTAGACAGGTGCATTCAGAGTCGTGTGACTGGAATCCAAACACACAGAGAGGCATGTCCGCACTGCTGATACCCGAGTGGTGAACCACAGCCATCATGCACTTTTAACCTCATCACCTGCTCTCTGTCCACCAATTCACTTCCACCGGGACCTTTCTGTGGCTGTCCAAACCTCTGCACAGGTGCAGAAGGGCTCTGCTCTTTCTGAGAACCATCATCCACCAAAATGAAAGATTCTTCATGTCCTCAGCATCATGCTGGTTTCGGGTCCAGGATTCAGTATGGGCAACTGGTTTAAAATCCTCACAGTGGTGGAGGTGCTGGGCAAGGGGGGAGGGGGGAGTAGCGCAAAGCGAAGCTCAGAGAAGATAGACTTTGCTGCTTGTTTTAATCCTGGCTCACAGCTGAGAATTTGCCCTTTCCATTTCCACATTTGTTTATGACATCAGAAGGTTGAGAAGTGTTAGGACACACATTTTTTATTTCATGTGCAAGAACTCTTTGCAGGAACCCCTCAAACATATCAGTTATAACATCTTCTTACCTTACCTACATCTACATTTCATAACAGAGTCATTTTGACTACAACAAAAAGCTTTTCTGTATCAGAAGTGTCAAAAACAGGTGATAAAAAAGGAAAAACAATTCTTACTGAAAATTATTTTGACGAGAGAGAAACTTCACATAAAGCAAACCTCTATCACAACCTGATATTTTATTTCTAAAGCTCTTAATACACTGCAGACATCTTGTGCTTGACAGTTCCTGGGTAGGAAATTTTCCTTCCAGTCACTATCAAGCATAAAACATCTGCCACCAGCATGGACTGATCCCTGCTATCGACAACCCTTGTGTTTTAGAACACCTTCCAACAGGTGCCTTCAGGCTTAGCTGAGGCATTTTCTTCTTCCAACACTAAATATCCGCTGGAGGCACTAGGGAGATCCAGGGACATACCAACACTTTAAGGGACAATCTCCAAGTTCTGATTGCCAAGCAGACACTTTTTCTTTGGGTTCCTTTCCTTGCATATTGCTATTACATTATGGCTCTGAGATTACAGGCATTTCATGGCAGATTGAAGCAGCATGTAGCTGGCTTTGGAGCAGAAAGACATGGGTGTATCAGTAGTAACCATCAGTGCCTTATCTTTGCAGTAGGAATATTTTTTTTTTTTAAATCTCAGTCTATTTTAACATTGTACATAGGGAAAGCATATGTTGTTATGTAACTGGAGAGTGAACCTAAAAAATAACCATACAAACCCACTTCAGGAATACTGAGCTCCTTGGCTTTGTAGTGATGCTGCAGCAGCTTCCTTGCAGAAATGAATAACAATATTTTTCCTCACATGGACTGTTCTTACAGTGGGAAAGGGTTATTGCTGCCCACCTGATAGCCCAGAGTTGCAGAGTGAGCACTATAATTTAGCCATGTTTTTGCACTCTGAACAGAAATATTTTGTTTTGCAGATGGGATGGTTAATGTAGAAAGGAATTTTGCTCATAGTTGAAGGAGACCAAATATTCCAGACTATCTAGGTTTCTCTCTTTGCTTTTCTACTGAGTTTAACCCAAAAACTGGGCCTCAGTTTCCACTTCTGTTTGCATGGAATAATTATGTTTTACCATTTTTATACAAAATCTTGACTTTTGAAAAAAGTCCACTCTACTTATGTCTCAAGCACAATTATTTTATTTGAACAAGATTTTTGAAGTGAAAAATGGCTGAGACAAAAGATACGCTGGCCAATTCATCAAGTGAATTTGTTTATTTCTTTCCCAGTCATCGCTTTGCAAGCAACATCTGGATACTCTCCAGAAGGAGACTAACTGCTGGAGACAGCTTGGATTAAACCATGTGCATATATTATTCAACTTAATGGCAGTATTGGGGAACACTACACTTTGAAAGGCCTGACAGAATTGAATGCTAAATAAAGTGGGCCACTGGTGGGTCAGAAGAGATAACTCAAAAGCATTTTTGATCTATAACAAAAGATACATATAAATGTTGAGCAGATGTGTTCACAAAAATAGAAATGGTACAATTGTGTTTTGTAAAAGAAGATTTATATTTTCAGTCTGTTGGCACAGTTTTCTTTATTTTCAGACTGCAGCTAAGTTGAGTTTGGCCACCTCTTTTTCTAATTTACCCTGTAGCTGTGTTACCCTTTCACCTTTACAAAAACCAGCATTTTAGTTCCCCGGGCACTCTACTGACACATGGTTATGAATTGTGCATGTTCAGAAGATATTGTAAGCTATAAAGCTGAGAATAGACAAGGAAGAAAGGTAAATGGAGGCTCAGAAGAAACATCTTTTACCTGGCAGACTTTCAGCAAAGACGACAACAGATCCCCCATTGCCTGAGCTTCTGAAGCTCCTTTGCACTTTGCCCTGTTGTGGCTAAGCTGTACCTGAAAATGAAAACTGAAAATGTAAGGGAGTGAGAGAACAAGCAAGGTACATACAAGAAATTTTCCTTCACTGAAGCAGGCCACCGATGCCCTGACAGTAGGAGTACCAGCAGGACTCACTATGTCCCCTCTCATCTTGGATCTTCTTGGTATATACAAGCTGCTTGTGTTCTGCCTACCTAGCTATACCTCAGCTTTCCCAGTGTGGACACATCTACATCAACAGAAATGGCATTTTGGATCAGTGTGATTTACGTCCATCTGGAAAAAATGTAAGTTATGTGAATATAAGTTTCTCTTACCCTCATGTGAGGGTATCTGTGTGAAGGATTACATCTTACTGCAGCTATTTTAGGAAGCTGCTGCATCACTAACCAAAAAAGGGGACACAAATTCAGTTTGTAGGGCAGAACCCTCTTGTCCAGGCCACTTGAATTCGACTCCTTCTCCAGGTGTGGACACGAGAACAACCTCAGGTTCATCTTTGGCCATCTTAAACGATTCTCTTTGCAAGCGTTATTTAATGCTTAATAATTCTTGCATATTTACACAAGGGAGAAACATTTCCATTTGTTTGCATTTCACAGTATCTCAATTTTAAGCTGTCTGGCAACTATGGACATTCACAGGCTGCCAATTACATTCAGCTTTTGGCAAAAGAAGAAGAATGTGTGTGTGAGGAATATGGCACACAAAATTAATCACCCCACACATTTAAGAGCAAAGATGCTTAGCTTTTCCCAGCACTACACAGATTTTTTTGAAGTTTCCGTTTTTGTTGACATAAGCCCATTTCCTCAGGGAGAAAGTATGTGTTTCAGAGACAAATGTTATGGCAGGGAATCCTCCCGGGCTGCTGCTACCCCAGCGTGCACAGGTGCAGTCTCCGTAACCCTCCCTGCAAAGGAACAGCTGGAGGAAAATATTCCACGGCAAAGGATATGTCACTTCAGTCTCATGTCAACCTCCAGCTGCAGTGCAACATCATTTTCTTAGACTACATATCTAATGTCAGGGAGAAAGGAAATTAAAATTCTGGCATTGACAATGAGACAAAACATTTGCTAGTAAGCAATAGGATATTCAGCCAGGGCCTTATTCCCAAAAATGCATGTGTGCAGGCAAGAAAATATCTCTGAAGCTCTTTTACCTTTGATCACACAATTGGTCTAATGCTTCATCCATTTTTCACTGTAACATTCCCAAACTACCTACACATCTAAGAAAAAAAAAAATCATGTTGCTTTACAGGTGAGGATGAATGGATCTGGAAAGGGCAGAAACAGGTAGTAGCTGATGGTTCAGAGAAGAGTGCTGCTGGAATTAAATTGAGCAATAGCTTCCTCACTAATCTGCTACACACCTGCTCAGTAACAGGACTCCCTGTGCCTCCCGCTCTATCCATAAAATAAATATGTGGTTCCCTGAAAATGCACTGATGGTTGGAAACACAAGACACGTAGCAACCCTAAGACAGAATTGTACCTTCAACTAAACATGGCAAGGTAGTAGTTAAAGAAATAAAATGAACAATAAAGCTTAAGCCCCTTCCACCCTGAAAAATAAAGAGAGGTTAAGGGAAGAAGAAAAATGTATAGGGAGAGATTGTGAAAGAAAATTTTGAAGGAGGCATTTGAACACAGACAAAATAATAGCAAAATAAATCAAAAGAGGGAATTAGTTCCAAAATTAAGCCAAGAAAGTAGAGACCATACAGAGATTT